AATAGGTCACTCATGTGTAGTTCTATTTATTTTCTTTAGAAGCACTTTGAAGATACCCAAGTATGGTACAACAACTATTGATAATCTCCTACCTCTTTTGTCTGTAACTCACTATTATTGGTCTATTTGTTTTCCTGAGAAACTATCTTGTAGATAACAATATGTAAAGCAATAACCATTGATAATTTCCTACAACTTTGTCTGTAACTTGGTAGGCCCCCCCATTATTATGTTATCCTTCTTTTACTCTTCAAAAAAAATTTTTTAAATAAATAAATATGAAATAAAAATTTTTTTAAAAGGAGGGGCTGAAGGGAGCATAGGGGAATGGAAAAAAAGAATCAAGTTATATCATGTCCAGGTTCAAATTCTGTATGATGAATTCTGTATGATGAAAGAAGATGTGGTGTTTTTATACAGTGGAGTACTACTCTGCCATAAAAAAGGATAAGCTTGAGATATTTCTAAGTAAATAGTTGCATTTGAGACTATAATTTTTTTTGAGACAAGATCTCAATATATAGTTCAGATTGGCCTTGAGCTCATTGTGTAGTCCAGGCTGGCCTCAAATTCATGGTTATCCTTCTGTGTCAGCCTCCCAAGTGCTAGGATTACAGGCATGCACCACCTTGCCTGGCCTAGACCATACTCTTAAGTGAAATAAATAGGACATATGTGTAAATACCACATTGTTTTTCTGGTGCAAGAAATTGAAAGTGTCAATAACAACCAAAATGTATAATAGGTATGGTGAAATAGGAAGAAAATATTCAAGTGGAGAGGGGAACAAGAAAGGGGGTAGAGGAAAAGGAAAAAACAGAAAGTAAAAGAAAGAAAGAAAGAAAAAAAGAAAGAAAGAAAGAAAGAAAGAAAGAAAGAAAGAAAGAAAGAAAGAGCGAGCAAGCTATTTTAAATGGGGAGAGAAGGAGGGTTGAGGGGAGGATAGGGGAATGGAAGAAAAGAATCAAGTTACATCATGTCCAGGTACAAATTCTGTAAGATGAACGCGATCATTATGCATATCTAAAATGTACCAATAAAATCTGATTTTAAACAGTCAGTTATCAAAAGGATGCAGGATTGAAGGGTGAACTCGTAGTGCTCCTCCGTTGCTGAGTTTGTTCTCCTGGTCTCAACTCTTCCTGGTAGTTTACTAAACCTACTTTGTTCCCAAGACCACAGGGAGAAGGCTAGAGCTAGCTGGTTGTGAGATTTTAAATGAAACTGAAATGAAAGTTTACTTCCTCATCGAGGATACTCATGTGACAAAGTCCAATTTCTTTTTAAAGTTAATTCAACTGAAATCTCTTTACTGCCTCTGAAATTGTTGGAGCGAGCGCACCAATTTGAGGACTTGTTATGGGAGCATCTGCTGGTTTTATCACGTATGTACTTTCTGTTGCTTTTCTCGCATTTGGTTTTTAAACTCTCTTTGCTTACGTTTTTAGCTCTTCCTGCCAGGTTTTAAAGCTTTGGTTCCAGGAAGTAAACTTTTAAAAAATCACATTACTTAAAAAGAATTTATTTTTGATGTCTGTTTAATGTCTATTTGAACGTCTAAACTTGATGCTGAAACCTAGCTTTCTTTGGAATGTAATTTGAAGATTTACATGGTAAAAATTCCAGTTGTTTTGAATCAAAAAGAAAAGAAGAACAAAGTAGAACCCAGTCTGGGGCAGTTAATGAATTTCTGTAAAAGTCTCTGAATTGAATACAGAAATTGTGGGGGTTTGGGGTTTTTGTTTTGTGTCTTTTGAGACAGGGTCTAGCTATGTAGTTCAGGCTGGCCTTGAACTCCTTTGTAGCCCAGGCTGGTCTTAAACTCACAGTGATCCTCCCGCCTCAGCCTCCCAAGTGCTGGGATTACAGGTGTATGCCACCATGCCTGGCTAGAAATTGTGTTTTAGAGAGCAGTTAATTACCTCCTTTTAAATAGATACTTGATTGTTGAAAAAAAAAAAAGTTAAAAAAATCATCCCAGCATTCTGGGAGGCTGAGGCAGGAGGACTGAAAGTTTGAGCCTAGCCTGAGCAACTTAGCAAGACCTTGTCTCAAAATAAGAAATTAAGGACATGGGATATAGCTCCATGGCACAGCACCTGCCTGGCAAGTGCAAGGTCCTGAGTTTGATTCTCCACACCAAAAAAAGAAAAAGAAAAAAATTAAAAAGAGCTGGAACAGCACCTGTCTGGCAAGCACAAGGTCCTGAGTTCGATCCCTGGTACCAAAAAACAAAACAAAAAGACAAAGAAGAGCTGGAAATGTAGCTTAATGTAGAAGCCCTGGGTTCAATTTACAACTCCACAAAAGAAAAAAAAAAAAAAACCTAAGGATGTAAAACTAATAGATGGGAGTTGGCGTTTAAGTATCTCTAGAAGTTATAAACATTTTATTTTATTTTTAAATTAAACTTTTTCAATACTGAGGTTGAACTCAGAGCCTCACCTATGCTAGGCAAGTATAGTTCTATCATTGAACTATATCCTCAGCTTATCTATTCATTTTTGAGATGAATCTTACTGTATTACCCAGGCTGGCCTTCATCTGGGCTTGAGTGATCCTTCTCCCTCAGCCCACTGAGCAGCTGGGACCACAGCCACACGTCCCCATGCCTGGCTCTCCTCTCTGAGTGGCTGTGTGGAGGGTGGTACTGGGGATCAAACTCAGGCGAGGCAAGCCCTCTGCCATTGAGCTGCACCTCAGCTCAATTTTTTTTATCTGGGAGCAAGGTCTTGTAAGTTGCTCAAACTGGCCTCAAACTTCAAAGTAGCTGAGATTACAGGCAGGTGCCACCAGGCCAGGTATTTTAAAAAATAAAATTATCTTTTAATGGATACATAGAAACAGAAAATGGTATATTTTGATGGAGTACCATGTGATGTTTCCACACACGTGTATACTAGGTTCTGCACATTTAAATAGACCAGCTCATAAAACAAGTTCATGTGTTTAAAAATTCAGAAGATAAACTAATTTTTCAGGGGCATGTCTGCTAAGGATTTCTATTTGGAAAGGAGGGAAGATGACTTCCTTTGATTAGATTTGTTGGCAAATCCTGGAAAGTCCCTACTTTTTAACATTCTCAGTGTGTTCAGTTTACTAGATATTAGAAAATTTCTGGAAATCACTTTTTAAAGTGTTACTGCTGGGCTGAGGTAGGACTGCCATGAGTTCAAGGCCAACCTGGGCTACATAGTGAGTTTACGGCCAGCCTAAATGCATAGCAAGACCTTGTCTCAAAAAATTTTTTTTAATTTTTATAAATAAATAAAATAAAGTGTTACTAAGTATTGGAAGTTGTATTTCAGACATAGTTCTGCACTTTCACCTATATTACAAAGAGTTATTTTTCTAATTCTGATTTATAAGAGTATGTTCCTTTAATAAGACTTTGTACTGGTGTTTTCTGTTCTGAAACTACATGGTCACACTGTATGCAGATGAGAGCCCCACTTCCTATGGTGCCTTCCTCCCACAGAATGAAGTGGCTGGCGTGGGTGTTCGTGGTGTGCTCTTTGGCAATGGCACAGCTGCACAAGGATCCTACGCTGGATCACCACTGGCATCTCTGGAAAAAAACCTATGGAAAACAATATCAGGAAAAGGTAGACAGGGTTGCCTCTTGGGCAGTCTGCTTTACACCAGTCCCCACCCCACCTTCTCACTCTCAAAACTGTGTTCTTACAAGCAGTGTTTTGTAGAAATAGTACGCGCTTATTCATTGTTCCAGCGACCATACAGCAGGAAACAAGACAAGGCTCCCGTTACTGTGGTGCTTCTGTGACAGTAGGAGAAAGGAAATAAGCAAGCAAGCAAGCAGACATACGCAGTGTGTTGGACGGTGGTAAGAGCAGTACAGAAAAATAAAGCCTGGACGACAAGTTAAGGGACCCATGGGGCCTGGGTGGTAGCAGTGAGAAATCCTTAGTGGTGGTGCGACGGCGTGCAAGGGCCAACAGAGAACTGAGTGGGGCACTGGCGGAAGCAGGGAGTAAGCAAGATGAATGATGGAGTGAAATCCAGGCCAATGAAATACAAGTGCACGACTCAAGGACACGGGTGGCGTGTTTGGGGAACAAAAAGCTGCCGTGACAACCCTTGGCATGGGAAGCAGCTGCTAGAATGTGAAACTTGACTCTCACTTCCCATTTGGGTTTTTGTTTTAAAGTATACTTGTTCACTGTTTTTAAAATTCTAACTTCATTGTTTCACATAACTAAGTCCTACAACTGTGTAACCATATAACAGTCCTATTATTGTACCTTAGCATATGTTTATTTGACAGATTAGTGATTTTTTTTCAGTGTTGAGAATTGAGCCCAGAGCCTTTTCCTGAGTTAAATGCCCAGCTCTTTTTCTTTTTTCTTTTTGAGACAAGGTCTTACTAAGTCACTAAGTTGCCCAGGCCAGACCCAAACTTGCAGTCCTCCTGCCTCAGCCTCCCAGAGTGCTGGGATTATAGGCATGTGCCATTGCACCCAAATCCTTGGACTTTTTTTAAAACATTATGATACAAGGTCTCTTTAAGTTGTGCAGTCTGGTTTCAAACTTGTGATCCCCCCTGCCTTCACCTTCTGAGAAGCTGGAACTAGAGGTTTGTGCCACCATGCTGGGCTAACCCATTTTATATGAGGAATTTGAGCATCCTCAGATTTGTTATCCCTGAGGCGAGGATCTTTGAACCAATCCTTCACAGATACCGAAGGACAATTATATAGACCTTTCACTCATGTTACATTTACTCTGACGTATCGTTTCATGTTGTTGTAAATGGGATTGTTTTCTTAATCTCTTTTCAGATAGTTTGCTGTCTGTGTATATAAATACTATTGATTTTCATATATTAATTTTTGTTGTTGTTTTCTTGAGACAGGGTCTTGCTATTAGCTCAAGTCAGCCTTGAACTCACTTTGTAGTCCAGGCTGGCCTCAAATTCTTGGTGATTCTCCTGTCTCAGCCTCCTGAGTACTGGGAATACAGGCATATTTATATATTAATTTTGTATCCTGCAACTTATCCAAACTTACTTCAGTTCTAACGATTTGTTTGGTGGAGTCTTTAGTTACCTGTACATAAGAGCATGCCTTCAACAAACAGAAACAATTTCACTTTTTCCTTTCCCATATGGATGCCTTTTCTTTGTTTTTCTTTCCTAGTTGCTCTAAGACTTTTATGTTGAATAGAAATGGTAAGAGCAGGTGTCCTTTTCTTTTTCCCATCTCAGAGGACAGCCTCCAACTTCTCCTGGTTGAATATGGTGGTACCTGGGCTTGTAACACACGGCCTTTGTTGTGTGGAAGAATATTCTTGATGCCTAACATGTTGAGAGTTTTTATCACAAAGGGCTGTTTTGTCAGATGTTTTCTCTCCATCCCAAGATAATCACATGGTTTTCATAGCGGTGAGTCCCACTGAGTCCCACTGTTAACCACACTGGTTTAGGGTTATCTATATGTAAGGATTATCTATATGTAAGTCATCTATATATGAGGACCAGGGCCCTAATTTCAGAGTTAACTAGAGTTAAATGTGCAGTTATCATCCCTATCAGATTAAGTGAATGCTACTCCTCTAGTTCATAATTTCAACCCCTCAGGAAGATGATCATGTCTTGGATTATATCCCACCTTGATAATTTATCTGAGTCCACTTTTCTTCGCTTTCTTGTGCTTTGTTAGATTTATTTTCATTTATGCTATTTTTCCTCTAGTGGTTTGGACATATGTCTATCATACAAGCCCATAATGTCCAGGATTAGGTAATAGTAAAACTCACTCCCAAAGAGAGGGGCTACATCTGTAAGGCTTCCTGAGACCAGGCTCTGGGCCTGGGCTCACACACTCAATGAAAAGAGGCTGAACATGGGTTGCTGTTTGCTCATGGGGCCTACTGCTCATTCTGGCCTTGGTGATAGTGGAAGGTGTCAGCTATTATGGGAGGCACCAGGTACACCTTGTCCTCTGTATGTTATATTCTGTATGTATTCTATAACAACTGTCCCAGAAGACCAATACAAATAAATTGACTCTGGATAAAATTAAAATAATAGAACCAAAGATAACTTTATACACAAAAGAAAAATACACACACTGGTGAACATTTAATTTGAGAAATAAATTAGAAATCTTGGAAATAAAAAAATATCCACGGAAATAAAAATCCAATCAGCACGATAAACTCCAAAGCAATTAGCTAGAATCCGTCATCTGGAAGATAGTGCTGAGACACTCACCCAGAATGTAGCAATGAAAATAAAAAGAAAGCCAGATGTGGTGGTGTACTTCTGGGAAGTAATCCCAGCACTTGGGAGGCTGAGGCAGGAGGATTGCTGTGAATTTGAGGCCAGTAGGGGCCACAAAGTGAGTTCAAGTCCAGCCTGAACTGCATAGTAAAACCTTGTCTCAAAAAAAAAAAAAAAAAGACAAGGCTGGGGATACAGCACCTGTCTGGCAAGCACAAAGTCCTAAGTTCGATTCCTAGCACCAAAAAAAGAAAGAAAGAAAGAAAGAAAGAAAGAAAGAAAGAAAGAAAGAAAGAAAGAAAAAAGAGATAAATCTGTGCAATGCATGCAAGAGATTAAAAAAAAAAAAAAAGTGCTTAAGTTTCCAAAAAACATTTGATAGGTCTTTCTGAAGGAGAAAATTAGATGGAATGGTGAAGCAATATATGAAAAGTTGCTGTTTGAAATTTTCCAAATATGAGAAAAATTCTGAATTATCCAGTCAAGAGTACCCAGCATAGCTGAGCATGGTGTATGTAATCCCAGCACTCTGGGAGGCCAGGGCAGGAAGATGGCAAATTCAAGCACTGCATGGGCGACTTAGTGAGACCTTATCTCAAAATAAAAATAAAAAAGGGCCACGGTTATAGCTCAGTGTGACGACAGACCTGGGCTCAATTCCCCACGACCCTACACAATAAAGAGTAGCCAGCAGAAGGTAAATAGTCAGAAACTACAGAATACAAAGTATAAAAGAAAACTCTACCAGAGTTAATACACTTAGAACATTAGACTATGCTCAGCAGTCTCATCCCTTAGTTTTCTACTGCAAATTTGTACTTTAGAGTAATAGTAGCCAACTGTGGATCTCAGTACCTTTCCCTGAAGGATACAGGAAGCAGTCTATGTGTTTACCCACTTGGTATGATGAACAGCAAGGAGTGTGCATGTGTGTAAAAGTGTCAAAACAGGATCTCACACTTTATGCTCTGTCTAACTTGTTTTGCCTTTGCATCACAGGGAGTCCAATAAACCCACACCACTCCAGAATTTAGTTGTTAAAAGTTTTCTTTTGATTTTTCTGATAGAAGTAGCCCAATTCAGTATAATGGCAGTGAAAAACCAGATTTGCAAGTTTTGGAGAAGATCAAAAGTAAATCATCAGTTGGGGCTGGGGATTTAGCTCAGCGGCAAAGTGCCTGCCTGGCAAGTGCGAGGTCGGGAGTTCGGTTCCCGGTACCGGAGAAAAACCAAAAAAAAAAAAAAAAAAAAGTAAATCATCGGGTTACTCATGTGTGGATGGTGAAGATGGTCTATTACAGTAAAATGCACGCTTTCATGACAGAAGAGTGGTGTGGGTGGATGATGAGGGTGATGATGACTCTGACGTTGGCCATGTGAGCCAAAGGTCTGTGGCAGTGAAATGGAGGGAGAATCAATTGATCAACTGGTACAGACACAGGGAATGCAAACCTCGATTCAGGTGATGGAGAAAACAGCAATGTGAGTACATATCTGACTATCGAAATATTGCAAAATGGCCATGCAACCAAAGGGAATGATCCAATGTCAGAACTAGGACCAAAAATATAATGTAGGTCTTGGCAGGGGTGAAATGTATTGGACAGAATGCCAGCATTGCCATTCAATGCTGAAAACTGTAACAGACGAAATGCTAAAAGATGCTGTTGAAATACACAAAGGCTGAAATGCAAGTAAAATGTTCTGTGTGCACCAATAGCCATGTTCAAAAATGTACTTACTATGACACCTCATTAGATGAACTGAAAGCCTTCACGGGTCTGCTGTACTTAGCACAGATCTCTCATAGTGATCGAACAATCTAAAAGACTTATGGAAAAGTGATGGGACAAAGTAAGGCATAAAATTATGTGCTTATAGATGTGAAACTTACTACTTTTTCAACTTAGCCATTTATCCTGGAACTCAGGTTGTGAACAGACTTGTTGCTCCCTCCTCCCAAACTAACAGGAGTGTGACATTTGACAGTTGGTTTACCAGTTTCCAATTGATGTTACAGTTGCTAACAGCACAAGTTGACCAGTGCAGGAAATGCACACAGGAACAGAGCAGAAACTCCAAATGAAATGTTGTGATTTCAAAATAGAGAATTGTGTATTATAATCTTTGAATTTCAGAAAGATATAACATTGGCCTCAAAAGCAAACTGGTACCACTGACGTCAACATTTCACCGTGCTGGAAATATTGATAGGAAAACCTGAACAGAATGGAAGCCTGGGATGGAAACTTTCAACAAACAAGACCAAAGTTAGAACAGATGTTGTTGATGAGTTATGCAGCAACTATACTGTCCCCTGAAACACAAAACATTGGCCAATTGTTGTATCTTACTCGATTCTAAATGTATGTGGCATAGTTGGTAGTTCAAAAGAGAATAACAAGTGCAAAATATCATGGAGAAGTTTTCTCAGAGGATTGGGACTAGAACTCAGAAGAGATCATTTACAGCAGAGGAAAAACAAAATGTTTTTGCCCAGGGAACTATACAGAAAAATTGTGGAGCACACTGGAGCTGACAGGTGAACAGGAAGGCACAGCATCACAAAGACCTACTATGACAAAAAGATGTCAGCTGCACCCTACAAGAAAGGTCAGGAAAAAGAAACATACATGCTATCAGTGCAAGCAATACTTGTGTATAGAACACGTAGTTGGCATGTGTGAAGACTGCCTTGGGGATAACAGTGGAAGCAAAGCTTATTTCTGTGGTAGACTTTTGTTTGTGTTTACCCTGTAGGTTACACTGGTTTTTATTTCCGATATTATCTTTGAGGTTTTATAAGGAAGTAAGCAGCTGGTGTGAAAATGTTGATGTCTATTTTAAGCGCTCATTACTTATTTGATATTTTATTTCACTGATATCTTATTTCCCTGCTAAGTGCATGTTGTACAATATAGTAGGAAGCTCCTGACAAAACAGGAAGAGAAGAGAGGTGACAAGACTGCCACATAGGAAAGACAAGCTAAGCACATGTGCTGTCAGTGTGAGTGAACCGTGTGCATGGAGCATGCAGCTGTCATGTGTGAAGACTTGAGTGTGACAGTTGAAGCAAAACAGTTCTGTGGTAGACTTTCGTTTGTGTTTACCTTGTAGTTCACGTAGGTTTTTATTTCTGATGTTATCTTTTAAGCTTTGTATGCAAGTACATAGCTGATGTGAAAATGTTGATGTCTAGCTGGGGAAGTAGCTCAGTGGCACAAGTGCCTGCCTGGCAAGCACGAGGTCCTGACCTTGATTTCCAGTACCAAAAAAAAAAAAAAAGAAAATGTTGATGTCTATTCTAAATGCATAATACACATTAAGAATTTAATAATTTATTTCATTCATATTTTATGTTCCTATGATCTACACACTATATAAATTTTAATTTTATGAGTTTTATTATATTAAACATTGAGTACTTAACTGGAACCTCCTGACAAAACAGCAAGACCACCGAGATATTAAGTATGTCCTACAAAAAGGCCAGGAAAGCAAGAGACATGTGCTGTCGGTGTAAGCAATATATGCGTATGTGGCTGTCATGTGAGTAGACTGCCTTAGGTGTGATAATTGAAGTAAAGATTTTTTTGGTAGAGTGTTATTTTTTTCATTGTAGTTCACATAGAAATTTATTTCTGATGTTCGTTTTTAGACTTTGCATACCAAAAACCCATCAATGTTGAAAATTTTGATGCTTTTTTATAAACACTCACTAAATATTAAAAACTCAATACTTTATTTTTGTGATTTTTCCTGTTAAGTTCTCAATGTTTAATATAACAAAACTCATAAGATTAAAATTAATAATTCATCAATAGAAATATTCTTGATGACAAAATTAGTTATGCTCCCAGGGCTACAAAGAGAGGTACAATAATTTGACAACATACCTCTCGTGTGTAGCAATAACTATCAGAAGACATGGTTAAGCATCTTTAAACAGCTAAAGAAAAATACCTAGAAATTTATAATCAGCTAAACTGTTTTGAGTGAAAGTGACAGTAAAGAGACATTTTATGGCAATCCATAAATATTTAATTTATACCTACAAAGGATATACTTCAACAAACAATAGTTTCTAAAAACAAAGCTATTAACATTAGTTGAAGGAAATTCATTGTATATTAATAACCACCAAAACAGTCATAAGCCAGAATTACAATTAGTATGTAATTTTAACAGTTATATTGGATATATTCATTTATTTGAATGCCTGGGGACAGATCTACACTGATAGAATGCTTCATAAAATGCTATTCTCATTATTGAACATTAATTTGTCCAAGTATAACTCTGTTCTCCTACCTTGCATGTTAGAATGAGGAAGAAGTGCGGCGGCTCATCTGGGAGAAGAATCTGAAGTTTGTGATGCTTCACAACCTGGAACATTCAATGGGAATGCACTCGTATGACCTAGGCATGAACCACCTGGGAGACATGGTAGGCAAATCACAGATACAGCAGTACCTCAGTTCAGGAATGAACTACTTCTGTTTGTAAACAGTTTGGTTAGCAAACAGAAGTGTTTGACAAAATTTGGCTTTTGTAGAGCACTTGCCTATCATGCAGGAGGCCCTTGATTCAACCCTCAGCACCACCAGCAAAGGGAACAAAAAAAGGGCCTGTGGCCATAGGCACACAAAGTGGGAGAACAGTAAAACATACATAAGAATTTGTACTGAAATTCCTACTTTGACCACTTAACCTTCACAAGTCCCTTCTTTAGTGAAAATTTTAAACTCACAGACTACTATCGCTTTAATTTTTTAATGAATTCTAGGAAGAACTTTCTGAAGGCTGCTGGTAGTTTTTTATAGTAAATTACTATATTTACGTAAGCAAAAGTGGACAAAGCAGGCCCGCATACTTTGGTACATAATGTCATAATCTCCCAGTGTGTGTGTGTGTGTGTGTGTGTGTGTGTGGTGCTGGGGACTCGTATGTCCTAAAGAGGCCTTCTACCACTGAGTTGCACCTGTGGCCCTCATATTAGTTATAGATCCTGCTCTACTTTACACTACTTTACTACTGCGGCTGAAATCAAGAATCATGGCACTGTTTGGAAGGCAATACCCGTGGTAAACCACATTCCTAGTTAAATGCAGAAATCTCCTTTGTAATTCTTTCTCACAAGGAAAACCAGTTTGGCCCACTATTAGACAATCTATTTTATAGAGCATGCCTTGCATCGGTCTCCCTGTAATTTTCAGTTTTTACTATTTTTTTCCACTCCTCAATGAGAATGCTGAGCTAACTGAGAAGAAGCTAATGCAAGGTCCTAGATTAAAAAGACTTGGACACCGAACTTTGTGGCATGTGCCTATAATCCCAGCACTACGGAGGCTGAAGCAGGAGGGTCACTTCGAGTTCAAGGCTCAGCCTGAACTACATAATGAGACCCTGTCTCAAGAAAAAGTCCTGGACAATTCACTTCACCATTCAACAGTACCTATGCTACTCAAAACTCTCACTAGTTTTTCTCCATTTTAGATAAACTTACAGTTATTAGGATGTTTCAAAGAAGGATCTGAAGAGGAATGTATCTTTGCTTTGTAGACCAGTGAAGAAGTGCTGTCTTTGATGAGCTCCCTGAGAGTTCCCAGCCAGTGGCCCAGAAATGTCACTTATAAATCAGACCCCAATCAGAAACTGCCGGATTCTGTGGACTGGAGAGAAAAGGGGTGTGTTACTGAGGTGAAATACCAGGTGAGCAAACCATGCAGACCTCTCACTGTAGACAGAGCTCTCTCTTTCTATGACTAGCCACATAATTTGGCAGTGAATTTCAGACTCTTGCATTACTTTCTAGTTGTTATTTTTGTCTTCTCAACTAAATTGTTAGCTGCCTGACGGCAAAGGTCACATATGACACTCTATTTATTGTCCGCACAGTGCTTAGAACACCAGGCAATGCAGCCATCTTGACAAACCTGTAACCCATGTAATCGGGTCTATAAGAAAAAATGTTAGTGCTCACATCATCCACTGGCAGCTCTGGGCCATCCCTTACACCAGCTGCTTGAGAAGTAGCGTCCGGTGCGAGGCAAGCCTGATCAGAAAGTTCCTGACTCCACCCAGCTTACAAATTTCAGAGTGGAAGGCGAAGAAAGATCTAGAGCTACAGTAGCCGTGGCCAGTCAAGTTAATACACAGCCAGATTTGCATTGTTTGTTAGAATAAGAAATTTATGCTTTGCCAAAGTGTTCCTCTGTTTTGTTTTCCTTTACTATATTGTTTTTTAAAAAGCTATAAAAATCCTAAACAAGTTAGCTCTAACTAAGAATAAAACACACAGGTCACTTTAGAGGTTGGGGAAAGGGAGACGAATGAGAGCAGTCTGAGCAGCTGCCTCAACACGTGACCACAGAAGAGAGCACAGTAAGAAAGAAGCCTGACACCAGTTTGGGGGCACAAACGGATATAAGTGGGAAGGGATGAGCCCAACCAACTACATGTTTAGGAATTAACTCTGAGAAATGTATGGGGTGGGAGGAGGTGAAAAGATGGGGAGACCAGCAAGGCGGGAGTAGGCCGTTCGGATGGGGCTCCGACCCTCCACATCTTTTTAAGTAAAGCAGCTTTGTGTTTTCTGTTCACTATGGCTTCTTAAAAAGTATCTTTTGATAAAACATGCTAAGGACAATGATGTTTGAAAAATATTAACTTAGAATTAAAGCTCTTAGGCTTGGAGCATCATTTGGCAGGAAGAAAGCAGCTTCAGGTCAAGGGACTCATTCTCTTCTCCTTTGAAATCCCTTACCTGTGTGCATGCCCTGGGGGAAGACGGGTGGATCCGACACAGCCAGTGAGTACCGTTTCTTAATAGACTTGAATATGGCCATTATGGGCTGAGCCCCGCCTTTGTAAGTCTTCAGGAGATGGACTCTGCCTAGAGAACAATCAGATATTTAGTCCGAATTCTCACTGTCTCAGCCAGAAGGAACTGTAGTGGGGGGAGCCCTTCCCGGAATTAGGGCCAGAGCGGCCGGCCTGGGTCACCCTGTGGGTGAGAGGCCCGCTCCTCACTGACTGTCCGCGGCCTCTCCTGCAGGGCTCCTGCGGAGCCTGCTGGGCCTTCAGCGCGGTGGGAGCCCTGGAAGCGCAGGTGAAGCTGAAAACAGGAAAGCTGGTGTCTCTCAGCGCGCAGAACCTCGTGGACTGTTCAACTGAAAAATACAGAAATAAAGGCTGCAACGGCGGCTTCATGACGGAGGCCTTCCAGTACATCATCGATAACAACGGCATCGACTCAGAAACCTCCTATCCCTACAAGGCCGTGGTAGGTCACAGGCGAGCTGTGTGCTGCTCCGGGACCTCCCGCGGCGCACAGAGGCACAGGGCTGTCCTCCCAGCTGCTGCTTCAGAGGCCGTGTGGTGTGTGTGAGAGCCAGCCAGGAGCTATTACATTCCCAAGATTTCTCTTTCTTATGCAGCAGCTTTCTACTCAGTGGCACAAGGGTTTTAAACAAATGAGTACCAGTCCTACTTAAGCACAGACTTCAAGCACATCATTCTCAAAATTCTCTCTGTATAGCTGCTTAAGATTTAAACGTTCTGTTCTACAGCCTCCCACCTTGAACCTCACTCTCAGATCATCGAGATTATTCTTCCACACACTGAGAAGCTGAGGAATGCTTGCCTCCTCCTTGAAGTTTATTACACACTTTGTGAAATTATAAAGTAATATGTCCCGGTTACAGAAAATTTAGTAAAGATAAAAAATACCACTCAAACTGGGGATGATGGAACACACCTACAATCCTAGGAGTTGGGAGGCTGAGGCGGGAAAATCACTTCATGTTCCTGGCCAGCCTGGCTACATAGTGAGTTCAAGGCCAGCCTGAACTGAAAGACCCTGTCTTTGAGACTCTGTCTCAAAAGAACAACAAAACACTCAAATACCTCTTACCTTAACCTCTATTGCTTTGCTTTATTTCTCTCATGTTCTTTTCCTGTTAAGCATTTTAAAAATATGGTTGCATATAAGTGAATTCCTAACATGTATCCCACATAAACGGGAATTTATAATCTTCCTCTTCCCACTTGACATAGGTGTTTTCCACATTGTATGGCCTTTTTTTTTTTTTTCCAGATAGGGTCTTGCAGGGCCAGGGAGATAGTTCAGTGGCACAGCGCCTGCCTGGCAAGCTCAAGGTTCTGAGTTCGATTCCCAGTACAAAAAAAATTCAGATAGGGTCTTGCTGTGTAGTTTAGGCTGGCCTTCAACTCACAGTGATCCTCCTGCCACAGCCTCCTGAGTGCTGGGATTACAGGCATGTGCCACCATACCCAGCATGTATGCTTTATAAAGCATCTTTTTTTTTTTTAATATACTGGGGAGTGAACTTAGTATCATCTATAACTTTTGAGATAGGGCTTTATTAAGTTGCTAAATCATCCAGGCTGAGCTTGAATTTGCTATCTTTCTGCCTCAGCCTCCCAGAGTGCTAGGACTGCACCACAACACTTAGCTTATAAACCATCATCACTTTAACTGCAAACATCTTGCACTCATGACATCATAAAAATGATTTTAAAGTTCTAGTCTAGAGTTTATGACCTCTGTGTAGTATACCCCTATAGTATACCTCATATACTGTCCTGGCAAGATTTTGTGGTTCTTTTTTTCTTTTTGGTTGGTTTTTTTGAGACAGAGTTTCACTGTGTACTTCAGGCTGGCCTTGAACTCACTGTGTAGCCCAAATTGGTTGAGAACTTGCAGTGATTCTCCTGCCTCAGTACTCTTAAGTACCACCATGCCAGCTCCTGGCAAGTATTGTATATAAAGATGTTAACAATTTTGTTAAAACAAAATAGAATAATTCTATGTATCCTTTGTTATTGGTGAAATTTGGAACTGTTAGGTCTTGGACAGTTTGATTATTCTTTCTTTAAAAGGGTAGAGTCTGAGGCCGGGGATTTAGCTCAGCGGCAAAAGCGTTTGCCTGGCAAGCGCAAGGTCGTGAGTTCGGTTCCCGGTACCGGAGAAAAACCAAAAAAGAAAAAAGAAAATATATTTAAAATCCAGACTTAGGACATTGATGATTTATAAAGAAAATTAAAATATACATTTCATCCATTTTATATATATATATATATTTTTTTTTTTTCAGGATGAAAAGTGCCATTATGATTCAAAAAATCGTGCTGCCACATGTTCACGTTACACAGAACTTCCTTTTGGCAGTGAAGAAGCCCTGAAAGAAGCTGTAGCCAATAAAGGACCGGTGTCTGTTGCTATCGATGCCAGTCATCCTTCGTTCTTCCTCTACAAAAGTGGTAAAACATATCTTTGAGCTTCTTGCTATATCCTGACCTTGCATGAAGAAAAGAACAGGGTCCTTCCCCATCACCCTACCCAAGTGCCCAGATAGGTCAGACAGAAGCTCTCCTTTCATGTAAGTGTTTTATACCAGGGTATAATTAGGAAAGTTGTACTTATAAAAGTTTACTAACACTAAATGCCAGGTACTATGCTCAGTTTTTTATGTGTGTTATCTTATCTAATCCTTAAAATGACCTTAATCTGCAGATGGAAAAACGCTATAGGGATTATCTTACCTGAAGTTGAATAACCTAAAGTGATTGAGCTGAGATTAAAAACTAAACAACTTAAGTGAATTCAATAAAGTTAAAAGATACAAAATCAATATACAAAAATCAGTTGCTATGAAAAAGAAAAAAATCAGTTGCTTTTTAATACAACAGCCGAGTATCTAAACTAAAAATCAAGAAAGAAGTCCAATTTACAATCACTACCAAAAACAATCCTAAGGATAAATTGAGCCAGAGGTGAAAAATATCCATAATGAAGACTATGACACATTGATGAAAGAATGGAAGGATATCTGTGTCTGTGGATTAGAAGAATCAATTTGTTAAAATGTCCATGCTACCCAAAGTGAATTACAGATTCACTACAATTCCTATCAAAATACCACTGATTTTTTTACAGAGCTAGGGAAAAAAATCCCAAAATTTGTATGTGACTGCATACACACACACAAGCAAAAGCTATCTTGTGCAAAAAGAACAAAGCAGGGGGCATTACACCACCTGACTTCAAAATATACTATAGTAGTGATCAAAACAGCATACATGGTATTAGCATAAAAACAGACCAGAGAAACCCACACATCTGCAGCCAACTTTTTGGGCAAGGTGCAAAGAAGTTGGAAAAAGGACAATTTTAGGGCCGGGGAGATAGCTCAGCAGCACAAGTGCCTGCCTGGCAAGTGCAAGGTCCTGAGTTTAATTCCTGGTACAAAAAAAAAAAAAAGGACAGTTTTTTTCACTCAGGGGTGCTGGGAAAATTGTGTATCCACTGCAGAAGAACAAAACTAGATCCCTATCTATCGCTAGTTTTTAAAAAATCAACTCAAAGTGGATTACAGACTTAAACATAAGACCTGAAACTATGAAACTGCTAGAAGAACTCATAATGGAAATGATTCCAGACATTGTAATGGGCAAGGATCATTTTGGATCAGACCCCCAAAACACTGAAAACAAAAGCAAAAATAGGCAAATGAGATCCAATCAAACTAAAATGTTTCTGCTTAGCAGAGGAAAACAACCAACAGAGTGAGGAGACTACCCTAGAATGGGAAAAAATATTGCAAAATATACATCTGAGAAGGGGTTACTATCCAGAGTATATAAGAAGATCAACTCAATAACAGCAAAAAGATCTCAGTTTAAAACGGGCAATACAAGCTAGCCACAGTGGTATACACAGTGGTGTAGACCTCTAGTCCAAGCTACTGGGGAGGCTGAGGCAGAAGGATTGCTTGAGCCCACAAGCTTGAGACCAGGCTGAGCAATATAGCAAGACCCAGTCTAAACAAAGGGGAGAGAAGCAATAAACTTAAGTAGACAATGACCAGACATATGAAAAATGCTCAACATCATTAATCATCAAGGAAGTACAAGTCAAAGCCACAGTGAGCTATCACCTTCCTCCAGTAAGTATGGATATTCCCAAAAGACAAAGGACAAGTGCTGGCAGGGAGCTCTTATGCTGCTGTGAGTGCGTGCAGCCATTATTGAAAACAGCATGGAGGTTCCTTAAAAAATTAAAAATAGAGTCTCCCAAAGTGGCAGGAAATGGCAGAGTGGTGAACAGCAAAGGAACAGTCTCTCCAAGATTTAGTGTCCAGATGCTGGACTATAGTAATGTGAGGGAAAAAAGGAGGGAAGTGGGTCCCAGGACCCAGCAAAGATCTGAAGTAAGAATTCAAGCCCACAGGGAGAGCGAAGAGAGAGACCTCAGTGCAGAAGAAGGAGGTAGCAAGCAGCACTCTCCCCCTGGCCCTGACTCAGCATGTGGAGGGGAAGCTCAAACTTGCAGATGCACGGTGACTACTGGCGACTCCAGAAGCCACCACAGAGAAACACACCAGTGGAACGAAGCAGTGGGTGCACCAGATTGCAGTGGCTGGTGAGTTATTCTGGCTCAGACATCGCCCAGGAGAGAGATTGGCCGGTAGACATCTTGGAAAGGGGCCCGACTGAGCTTGGAACTCAAAACAGCGGCAGGCTGGCTCCATCTAGTGGTTCCCAGCGTCATGGTGGGGTGATACAGTTCAAATTGGCAGGAGGTCAAGGAGCCAAATCCAACCTGGTAGGGAACTAAAGTCAAGCTGGCAGGAGGCACACAGAGTATTGCAGGCTGAACAAATCCAGTTCCAGTCTCACAGCCAGAAACCAGCCTGAACTTCAGCAGAACTAAAGGCGCAGGCCTTCTGGGATTATCCACTTCTGTGCCGCAAATGTGAGGCGGGTTTGCTGGGATTAATCAGCATGGATCTGGGCTCTGTCTGCCCAATCTGTCTACCAGTGACAGCAGAGACACACCCTGAAATGGACTTTTTTTTCTTCTTGTTTTTTTTCTTGTTTTTTGTTTTTTCTTGATTGTTCTTGTTTTTATGTGTGAACATTGTTTCTCTAGTTTTCTTCTTGTTCTGCTCTTGTTTTTGTTTTCTTCTTTTCCCTTTCTCCCCTTTGTCCCCAGTTTCTCAAAGTTTGTGTGATGGGTCTTTGTCCTCCAACCTCACTTCTAATCTCTTCCTCTTCTTCTATTTTCTCTATTTTTTCCCTCAACCCCTTTTAAATTTCCTCCCCCAAGGGTAAAATTGTTGTACTGAGGGCATATTTACTGTATAAAATTTTCTGTTTTGTTTTAGATGTTGTTATATAACTACAAATCTAGTTCACACATTTAAAGCTAGCATATTAATAGTTACCACAGTTTGGCATTTTCTAGTTGTGTTTGATGTTATTGTATTGCTGATTGGACTACTTTAGTAAGGTGACATAATTGTTCTAATCAGTTGTTCTTCCTGATATGCCAAGACTGAGATTGCCTAAGGGCCATAAATAATACTATAAGGCCAGTGCCAAAGAACCAGGGAGTGGGCCAAACATGCAGCAACTTTTCATCCCCAATAAATTAAAAAGGTAGGATCTTGCAATAAACCCAAAGTCTAAAAAACCAGCTATACCTGTAAGACATGTCTGAATAGTCATTTCCTAAGCATTCTAAATATTAGCAATAAAGCTACCCATTGTAAGCAATTTACAAGTATCAACCCAAGAAATAAAAATAGCATGATACTGGAAAAGAAAAAACAGACCCAAGGATCCATGGAACAGTTTAGAAGATGCAAAAACAACTCCAAATACACTTAGCCACTTTACCTTTGACAAAGGAGCCAAACACCTTCACTGGAAGAAAGACAGCCTCTTTAATAAATGGCACTATGATGAATGTGATCATTATGTGTATTTAAAATGTACCAAGAAAAGAAACAAAACCACAGACAATGAAAAAATAAATAGGGTTTCATAAAAATACTAAAAATAAAACTGCCAAACATTCTATATTATCATATAGCATTCAATCTATTTCCTTCCCATATTTTCTCTTTTTCATTTATTTTTGTTTTGTTTTGTTGCTGTTTCTTTTCTCATCCATATTTTATTTTCAGGTGTCTACTATGACCCCTCCTGTACTCAGAATGTGAATCATGGTGTAGTCGTGGTTGGCTATGGTAACCTTGACGGGAAAGACTACTGGCTTGTGAAAAACAGGTAATATATTTGCATATTAATGTATATTAATAAAATCAAATGTGCTCAGTGAAGATGATCAGGATATTTGCGATGATAAACACTGACAGCTTCCTGCAAAGTAACATTTTAAATTATGCAATGCCCTTATTTTTCTACTTTCTATCCTGCCTTTATATCTTTCTTTTCAAGATTTATCTTCTACCATATTTCCCTATTCTTTTTCAGTCACTCTTATGAACAACTATTCCTCTATTTAGTCTCTAAATGTTGGTTAGCTACCCCAGGGCTCCATCCCACAGCCATTACTATTTTTCCCCCCTTCACCACCCTCCTCTTCCTCCTCTTCTTGGGACAGGGTTTTGCTCTGTAGTTAAGGCTGGTCTTAAACTCGCTATATAGCCCACAATGGCCTTAAACTAGCAGCAATCCTCCTGCCTCAGCCTTCTGAGTGCTGGGATTAAAAGCATGCATCACCACACCTGGCTACTCTTCTTTTTTTACATCATTCTATTCTTATAACTTTAGTCATAACCTATATGCTGATAGCTTTTGAGTCTTTCTCCCTAGCTCTAATATCTGCCTAGAAGATCACACTTATCTGATCATATCCACTTGCCTGTATCTTAGTCTTTCCAAGTTCATTGTGTCCAAGGAACTCAGTACCCTCTCCACCACACTGTGCCCTCCAGAATTTCCCATCTAAGTAAATGGCAATGTCACACAACACAGTCTCCCAGTTAGGCAGTACTTCTCCAGGGCCAATCAGCAACAAATTAATTTTATCTTGTATTTATCTGTGATTCTATTCCTTCTCCATTTCTTTTGTTACTGGTTTACTTCAGACATCTTGTGCAGACTATTGCTGTAGCCTTTTAAATCCTCCTTTCATGCCCCTGCTAAACAGATTTGTCTAAAACATGATCGATCCAGGTGTGGTCGTGCAAGCTTGTAATCCCAGCACTCAAGAGGCTGAGGCAGGAGGAAACCCACAAATTTGAGGCCAGACTGGGCTACATAGTGAGTTTAAGGAATAAATAGTGAGAACCTATCTCAAAACATACATATATCTAGATAGATAGATAGATAGATAGATAGATAGATAGATAGATAGATAGATAAAGTGACTCTGGGCTTATAATTCTACATTGTGTCATTCAATATAAAATTAATATTTCCTAATAGAGCAGACAATTCTTTTTCTTTTTCTTTCTTTTTTTGTCTTTTTGAGACAGAGTCTCACTGTGCAGTTCAGGCTGCACTTGAGCTCACTTTGTAGCCCGGGTTAGTCTCAAACTCGCAACAATCCTCCCGCATCATCCTCCCGAGTGCTGGGATTATCTGCATGTACCACCACACCCAGCAAGCAGACAATTCTTTGTTGCAGTCTTTCCCTGCCTTACCAGTTTCAACTCTTGATGTTTGTTGTTTGATACTTTTCACTCTAGTTATACTGAACTATAAACATAGTTAAAAGTACAAACATACATAGTTATAGTTCCCACCCATACTATGTTACCTGTAATATCTTCATATCTTAGTTATGTTTTCCTTCTGTGGAAAACATCCTTCTTCCTCATTTGGTTTATTCCTCATTTTCTTTCAAAAGCAGGTCAGGCATTATCTGTTTTAGAAAATCTCTGAATCTTTTGGCTAAGGAAAATACCTTTTTCCTATGTTGCAAAAAGTTCTAGTAGACACTGGATCACAGCATTTTATATGTTATATTTATTTTGTAATTTATTTATTTATTTTGAGGCAGGGTTCAGCCTGATCTTGACCTCATTAGGTAGCCCAGGCTGGACTCAAACTCTCAGCCACGCTCCTGCCTCAGCCTCCTGAGTGCTGGGATTACAGGCGTGTGCCACCTCGCCTGGCTATGCATTATATTTAAATTGTATGTTTACTACCTGCCATCCCAATACTCTGTATACACCTTTGGGGATGAGATTATGCCTTGTCTTTCAGCTTCAGCACAGTACAAGTGGTCCTTATTGGCCCTTCACTACGTGTACTTAATTGATTTCTATGTAACTCATAAACCAAAGGAATATAACTTTCAGGGGAAAGGGTGGGGAATACTGTATGATCTTACATGTGAAGTCCACAGCAGTCACACTCATAGAAACAAAGTAGGACAGTGGTTGCCAAGGAAGAGTTAGAGGGTAGGAGAAATGGGGAGATGTTGATGAAAGGGTACAGACTTTCAACTATAAAATAAAAAGTTCTGAGGAGCTCATACATGGCGAGGTAATGATGGATGTGTTACTTAATGTTACGACCTTGCAAGCGCTGAGCTAAACCCCCAGCCCCTAGAATATAATATAATATTTGTCAATTAAGTTTATTTAAAGAAAAGAAAAAAGAAAATGTTCAGTATCTCTCTCCTAGCTTCTGAAAGTTCAGTTTGCCCTCCTGGGTCTGATGTCAGCTTTACTTTCACACGGCTTCTCCATGTGGGCACGACCGTCCCTGCCGGTTTCCCTCTTATGCACCGTCATATTAGATGAAGGCTACCTAATGATTTCAGCTTAATTTAGTCAGTGACACTGACAGTGACCCTGTTTCCAAAGAAGATCAAGTTCTGGGACACCTCTTGTAGGATCCCAAGATGAACTTGGGCAGGAGAGGGGATATAACTCAACCCATACCATTCCCAAATCTTTCCCAGAGGACACCATCTACAAATCACAAAAACAAACTCAAGAAAAATGAAGATGCTCTCTTATCTTTTTCATGTTGTGGTGCACGTAGAAGATGGTAATATTTGTATGTCAGCTGGGAAAGCAGCTGAAGGACTTGCGATCTTGGTTTCCTTATAATCAATCCATTCATAGAACTGATCAGTTTGGGTATAGATCAGAGATCACTTTGGGGCTTTTAGTACATAGTTGTAGTAAATAATGATGACATTCATTGTGAGAGCTGGTACATATACGTAGCACATCTTAATTCTTTTATTTTTAATCAGATTTTATTGGTACATTTTAGATATACATAATGACCACATTCATCATAGAGAATTTGTACCTGTATGTGATGTAACTTGATTTTTTCCCATTCCCCTCCCCTCCCTTCAACCTCCCATTGACAAAAGCTTTGTTTCCATTTTTTCCTTCTTTTCTCATTTTTTTTACTCCTCCCTTATTTCCTTTACCCCTCCCCTCTTTCTTGTTCCCTTCCCTGTTTGAACATTTTCTTCCTATTTCACAATACCTATTATATATTTTGTGCCTTATTTATACTTTCAGTTTCTCACATCAGAGAAACAAGGTGGTGTTTACACACGTGTATCCCATTTATTTCACTTAAGAGTATGGACTCAAGGTGCATCCATTTTCCTAGAAATGACTTGAACATATCCTTCTTTGTGGCAGAGTAGTACTCTATTGCTTAATTCTTTTTATGTCCTTTTCCCCTCTTGGGTTTTTTTTTTTTTTTTAATGAAGCAATACTTTCCCTCATTTTTATTAGTACCCTAAAGGATTCTCTCAATAAATGTTCTAAATTCCCTTCTCTATTGAGGCTGCTCTTCTTGAAGGTCATCTATACATTTCAGTATTGAAACTTAGAACCCCTTCTCTACACTAAGCATTTATCAAGCATCTACAATGTGATGGACATTATGTAGGCCCTAGGGATATGACACATGACAGAAATCATGCTTTCCTGAAGGTGCTCACAATCCAACATGAAATTCATTACACTTTAAAACAATACAAGCCTGGGCATGGTGGTGCACGCCTGTAATCCCAGCATTTGGGAGGCTGAGGCAGGAGAATCTTTGTGAGTTCTAGACTAGCCTGAGCTACAAAGTGAGCTCAAGGCCAGCCTGAACTGCATGATGAGACCCTGTCTCAAAAAGACAAAATAATAATAATAATAATAATAATAATACACTACAACACACGGTAAGGTGACATTTGTCCACATGACTACAGGGCTGTAGACAAGATGTTAACTGCCTACACCTCCACATAGAGGACCCCATCTACATTCGTTTTCTAATGAATGGAATTAACCAATTCCATTGGTCAATGTTGGAGGAGGGCAGCATGTTTGAGGTTAGAAAGTTGCCCAGTAACCAAAAAAACATATGTGCTAGCATTGAAACACAAACGACCCCTCTGCCTTATGAATGTCCCTTGTGTTTATGTCTGCGGCACTAGTGCCATAACATTGTCTTAACTCCTTGTGCGGCATCATCTGCAGCCCATATCTCAGACTTGTCTACCTGTCCTTCGTGTAGGTTTGTCGCAGCAAAGCAAACTTAGAATTGCTCTGTAAGTCCCACCTGTTGTACAGGGGTGATTCCTGACCCACAATCTGTAAAAATGACTGCTCTCCTATGTAGCACACTTCTCCCACCAGCTTCCAATTTAGCATCTCTGCTTGAAAAATCTAAATTTCCCACCAACTCGCCCTACAGCCACTCACCATACACTCATAATCTCACACTCAGCAATTCTGAAAAATTCCATCTCTCCATACATCTCAACTCCCCCTTCATCTCCTATCCTGAAAAAGATTTAGACCAACTTCAAGGGAAGGTCATTTTCTATTCTGGCTATGTATCACCAGCTTCAGATTTCTGAAATCTTGCCATTCATCTTGCCTTCCCCTTCCCTTCCTCCACCTGCACAGCTCTGTCCATTTGGCCTCTGAGTGATTCCTGGCATGTTTTATCTCTGTTCCATTTCCAGCGGCCCCCCCCTCTAATTCAGAGTCTGTTTTATCCCACTGCAGGATATCTCCTTAACATACAGACCATGCCAACACATAACCAAACATTCTTCACAGTTCACAGTTAGCACCAAAGTAAACTACAAACTCCTGGCCAGGTATTTAAGATCTTGGGGCCTGAGGCATTGCCCAGTGGTAGAGCAAGGCCCTTGGTTCCATCCCCAGACCAGCACCAACCACCAAAAAGCAAAACACCTACTGCATCCACTGATAAGTGAAAATGGGGTTGGCCTTTTAGTGTAAAGGTACTGGAGAGCCTTAAAGATTTTTAAGCTGGCAAGTGGCAACTAGCTGAAAGGAAGAAAAAAAAAAAAAAAAAAAAAAAAAAAAAAAAAAAAAAAAAAACCTCATGAAAGAACTTAAGGTAAGATTACAAAATTATGACATAGTGTCACAAAGTGTCTTTGAACCAAGGAAGAAATGAGGTGGGCTGTTAAATTGTACAGAGATAAAGATAGGACTGGAACAGCATCAGGTGAGGCCTCTTCAAGCACAGCTCCTTAATTTACCCCCCTTGTTTTCTAGCAACAAACCTGCACTTCTCAGCTTCTCCACTTCGTGCAAATGTGCAGCCTTCTTGTAAGGTTCTGAACAAAACATTGTGAGAGTTTCCCCTGCCTGCAGAATTGAAAGCATAAATTCCCCAGCTTGGGATTCTCAGAGCTTTACAACATGGCCCCAAAACAATGTTCTGTTCTTTTCCAGCCATCCCACTAGAGATACTCAGTTTTGCTTCCAACTGAATTTCCCCCTGTTCTTCAAACACACTGAGAATTTTTCAATGTCATGCTCTTATTTTTACCCTCATTGTAGCAATTAATTCTGCCTCATGTAATAATTATTTGTATAACTACAATTACAAAATCTCAGAATCATAAAGAACTTCAGAAATCATTTTCCTTAAAAGGGTTTTGTCAGTTTTTTCATTAGTTTGTGATAAAATGAAAAAAAATATGTCTGTGACTTTTCCATAATCTAAATTTATTTGACTCATTGGATTCTCCTTAGAGAATGTGTCCTCTGGTTTTTGTTTTTGGTATAAAACACCTTCTCTTTTCTGACATGATGATGATACTAAATAATTTGATGTCCATATATACTAATTTAAAAACTTGTAACTTTGTCAGTCTAAAAGGTTTTTAAATCCTCTGTTCCATGTACTCAAAAAGTGAGCAAACCCCTATCTGACCCTTGAATTCTCTCCACATCATCCATAATGAATTGTGCAGCAAGGTTGTACTTGCACACGTCCAGGGCCAGGGGGCGCTCGTCTTCACGAGGTAGTACATTCCCTTTTTTGAAAGGAAAGTCTCATCCGTGTCTGGGTCAGGAATCTCTTTTAGAACCGCACCCCCTATCCTTTACTTTAGAATTCAGTGCCCTATGATATTTTCATACTAGTCACTCATAAAACTTCTTAAGAGATATTCTTTAAAGGAATTTAAGTTCGTTAGAAAATCATCAGCCACAATCCTTTCATACAAAAACACTTAGAGATGGGGCCCCGTGGAGTACAAAAGGCATGTCTACAAAGTAAGAGCATTGAAAGGCTGGAACGGACTTGACATTGTTCTCCTGAGGTATTAAGTCTACTCAGCCAGGTAGAACTAAAGCCTTCCAAACTACCCTTTGGAAATTGAAAATTGCCTAAAATCCCGGGGGAAGTTATTATATTATTTCATACTAATTATGGTTTATAGCTTTTCACATATAGTGACTTCAGGAGAAAAACAAAAAGTTATATAATTTGATTCTATTTGCTTCTAATTTTGGTATTTCTTTTTCTACAGCTGGGGCCTCTACTTTGGTGATCGAGGATATATTCGGATGGCAAGAAATAGTGGAAATCATTGTGGGATTGCTAGTTATAGCTCTTACCCAGAAATCTAGGGGATCTCTTCATTTTATAACAAGTCAAGGGAGATGAAAAACTCTCTCTTAATTTTATCTGCTGTATTCAGAAGAAATAAGTGTCATGATCAGTGTATATTTGTCATACTAATTAGAAAATGTAGTTTGCTTCTTCACTTTATAACATCGTATATCTCTAAAACAAGTTTGCAAAGTCATATGCAATAGATATGAAAATTTATTTACCTGGGAGCTTTTATAACTTCCTGGCCTAAGAGAGCTCAATAAATCTATCATTTTAAATTTCTAAAATTGCCACATATTCTTTTCAAATTATTCTTTGTTAACTCTTAGGCTGTCTCATGAAAATGTTCATTGTGGTACACAAGCGATGGGTTATGGAAACTGTAATAGAAAATATTACGTTATAAATGTCCTGAGGGCACAATCATCATTGCACATAAAAGGATTCAATAAATATTTTTAAATTAAACCATGTTAAAGTACAGTATACAAATACTTAGAAGTGAAGCTGTTTTCAAACACTTTGGAAGAATTATCATTTTTATTTATCTCTGCAGTGCTGGGAATCAAACCCAAGGTCTTCTCCAAACTAGGCAAATACTCCAAAACTGAGCTATAACTCTGGCCCTGGAAGAATTATTTTAATAATCAACACTTTGACACATTAGTTCAAATTACTTTCACTGAATCATCAACAAGTTGATCAGGGCTTTTTTTGGGCAAATAATTGAGTCAACCCAAATAAACTGATTCTTTTTCAAATATTCCACTGTAGTACTTATATTTTTGTCTAATTCCAATGGATCTTCCTCATAATCCTCCAAATTAGTAGATAGATTGTGAACAGGCAACAGGAATTTTAAATTTTATAAATTGAAGCCTATGATATGAAAAATGTATAGGATAACATCATTAATAGATGCTAAACTGACCTTAAACTAATTCAGTATCTTTGTTTCCCTCTCCATAAAACACATTTTAGGAATAAGAATTGACAAATACAGCTGGGGATATAGCTCAGCAGCACAAGTGCCTGCCTGATGAGCTCAAGGTCCTGGGTTCAATTCCCAGTACCAAAAAGAAAAGAATTGACAAATACAGCCTGCGGTGATGGTATATACCTATAATCTCAGCACTCAGGAGGCTGAGGCAGGAGGATTGCCATGAGTTTGAGGCCAGCCTGGGCTACATAGTTCAAGGCCAGCCTGAACTACATAGTGAGACCCTTTCTCACAAAAAAAAAAAAAAAAAGAAAAGAAAGAAAGGGCTGGGGTTGTAGCTCTGCAGCACAAGTCCCTCCCTAGCAAGTGCAAGGTCCTGAGTTCAATTCCAGTACCAAAAAAAAAAAGTCTAAACAAAAAAAAAGAAAGAAAGAACTGCCAAATATAAAAGCATAATCATGCTGGGTATGGTGGCACATTCCTGTAATCCCAGTACTGGGAAAGCTGAGGCAGGAGGATCACTGCAAGTTTGAGGCCAACCTGGGCTATATAGTGAGTTAAAGGCCAGCCTGAAATGCATGGTGAAATCCTGTTTCAAAAAAATAACAAAAAAAAACCCAAAAACCAAAAAACATGGTCATAATATCATAATACATGATTATCATAAAAAGTGTAGGAAAATGTTACAGTTAAAAAATATTTAGTTGATTGTTCTTTCGTTTTTAATATATTTTTATTTTGTTTGCAAGTATTATAATAAAAACATCAGCTCTTAATTTCTGGTAATCTGGTAGTAGATGAATGTCTTTTCAGAATAAAATTGCATAAAATAAAATATGTAGGATTATAAAGGAAACCAATTATATTGAAATGCAGTTATTAAAATTTTAAAATATAAATATATAATAAGCCCATGCATCTTTATAAATGCATTAAATAACAAGACTTAATAACCATCCTAGCTGGGCATGGTGACACACACCTGTAATCCTAGCACTCAGGAGGCAGAGGCAGGAGGATCACTGTGAGTTTGAGGCCAGGTTGGGCTACATAGCAAGACCCCAGACCAAAGTAAAGAAAAAAATTTAAATAAATAAATAAGAGGACTACATAGTGAGACCCCAAACCAAAGTAAAAAAAAATTTAAGTAGATAAATAAGAGGACATATTAAATACTTATGTGAGGTCATAAAACCCTGAACTAAATATAGCAGCTGTAAAAACAAACAAACAGAAAATAAACAAAGAGCAAATCTGGGAACCATCACAGGGTAAAAGTTGTGGAAACTTTTAACTGTATCATGAAGATACAGAAATTAGAAGATTTAAATATTCAAAAGTAGGAGTCTACCAGATCATACCATTAAAATGTGTAAGAAAAATATGAAGATAAGGAATTATGTCTTTGAAAAAAATTATTTTCTGCCAGGTGTGGTGGCACATGCCTGTAATCCCAGCACTCGGGAGGCTGAGGCAGGGGGATCATTGGGAGTTCAAGACCAGCCTGGGCTACAAAGTGAGCTCAAGGCCAATTTGAACTGCACAGCAAGACCCTGTCTCAAAAAGACAAAAAGAAAATTATTTTCTTACTCTTCTCTTTTAGATGAGAATCTTGAGGCTTCAAGTGGGCATTCTCTAAATTACCAGAGAGACTATAAGAACACAAACATGTCTATAAAAATGAAAATAAAAACAATCCTCCCAAGATATAGTACTCAAAGGAAGAGCACACACATCTTTGAGGATGCCGCATCACTGCCATCAACCTTCAACTCATCTTCCAACCAACACGCAGGGTGATTCTTGAAAAATGACTGAGATGACAACTCTCCCAATCATAACCATTCATTACAGCAAAAATGAAATATGCACACCTTCACATTGAACATATTTTTTGTTTCACATTTTAAAACAGGGGCTTGCTATGTTGCTCATGCTGGTCTTGAACTTGTGAGCTCAAGTGATCCTCTTGCCTCACATCCCCTAATAGACTGGACCATGGGTGTGGACCACGGAGCCCCACTTTTCTTACCATTGATTGTATATCCTGGCTTTCCCATCTTATCTGAAGCTACTGTTTCCCACATTTCCTATGAGCTAGGCACAGAAGGCTTCTTCAATTTTTGGAACACTTCCTTCTCCGAGGGCTTTTCAAGTGTTGTTCTCTCTGCCTAGAATATCCTGCGCCCCTCGCTATCTACTCAGCCACATTCTTCTGATCACTCCCAGTCATCCTTCTGCTTGTTAATGTAAAAGCCACTGCCCCAGAGCGGCCTTCCATGACTCACCCACCCAGACAAATTAAATTCTCCATCTTGGACACTCATTGAATACAGTGCTTTTTTTCCAATTGCATTTACATCTAGTTGTAATTTTTTACATATATCTATTTGTATAACATATCCTCAATAAACTGTAAAATCAATAAGGGCAGAAATCATGATGCTTGCCTAATATCTTGTGCCTAAAATATAACATAATGCCTGTCTTAAAGGCCTTCATCAGTATGCACTGGAAGAATAAGTGAATGAAGGGTGAATGCATGTAAATGTCCAGCATGTTATGTGTCAGAAGTAAAAATATGTCCCAATTGTTCTTTCTCAGATTTCTTTTTATTACTCAAAACTCTTCTCTCAGCTGGGGATGTAGTTCAGGGGTAGATAGCACTTACCTAGGTAGCCCTGCTTTTGATCCTTAGCACTGTCATTACTCACAGTAGTTATATTTTATAAAATTGCTGTGAACATTGAGTTAGCAAATAGTAGGGGAAACACAGGATTAGGTTCCTATGAAATTTTGGTCACATCTTCATTAGTAAATTAATACAAACCTTATTTTATATGTTTGTGTTTAAAGACAATTTATTTAATACATACTGTTGATTCACTAGGTAGCACTTAAATACATCCATTTTCTTTTCTTTTTTTTTTTTCTTTTTTTGAGACAAGGTCTCACTATGCAGTTCAGGCTGGCCTTGAACTCACTTTGTAGCCCAGGCCAGTCTCGAACTTGCAACAATCCTCCTGCCTCAGCCTCCCAAGAGCTGGGATTACAGGCGTGTGCCACCATGCCCAGAAAATACATCCATTTTAAACAGCAAAATCACACACACACAAAGCACAAAGATACACAAATGTTGCACTAACTAGACCTCAAAAAGAACATTTGTTAGCTGGGCATAATGGTGAATACCTGTAATCTCAGCACTTTGGGAGGCTGAGGCAGGAAGATTGCAAGTATCAAGACTATCCTGGGAAACTCAGTAATTTAGTGAAACCCTGTCTAAATAAATAAAAATACGAAGGACTGGGACTGTAGCTCCCTGTGAAGGCCTCAGGTTCAAATAATCCCCAGTACCAAAAACAAACAAACAAATCCCATTTGTTTACAAGAACCAAACTAAGTAGGCAAAGTGTCACTTTATTCAACCTCAAATTGTGAAAACATGTAGTAACATATTTTGTTTATTTTTTGAATTTTTATGTTTATTAGTACATGTTTGCAGTACACAATGATTATATTTGGCATGGATAATGGGTATATACGCATACCACATCTTAATGCTCTTTATATCCCCTGCTCTCCTCCTTCCTCCATCTCGAATTTTTTGCTGTTCTGTGCATGTCTGCAAATGACTGGAAAAGTCATATTATACTGATTACTAGTTTGGGGGTATGAAAACTTAGTAATGGGGCAAATTCACAAATATGAAATCTGAGATTTGTGAATGAAAATTGTGTGTTTGTGTGCATAAAACAAACAGTGAAAAGTCTCTATCCCACTGCTCTCCCCTACAGGCAGATTCCCTCCTCCTTAGAAGTATGATGATGACTTACACCAGGCATGGTTGTGCATGCCTGTGACACCGGCACTCTGAGAAGCTGAGGCAAGAGGATTGCAAGTTAGAGACCAGCCTGGGCAATTCAGCAGTTATTGAGACTCTGTTAAAATTAAAAACAAAAAAAGAGCCATGGTGGCACATCACTGTAATCCCAGCACTTGGAAGGTTGAGGCAGGAGGATTGTTGAGTTTAAGACTAGCCTGGGCTACAGAGTGAATTCAAGGCCAGCCTGAACTGCATAGTGAGACCCTGCCTCAAAAAGACAAAAATAAAATAAAACATATATATACTTTAAAAAAAAAAAAAAACCAGGGATATAGTTTGGTATGAAGGCCTTGTGTTCAATTTCCAGTGAGGGGGGGGAGGGGGGTGGGGAGTAATCACTCAGTTTCTTATGTATCTTTCTAAAATTTCTTATGCAAGCAGGTATGTGGTGCACACCTGAAATCCCAGCACTTTGGAAACTGAGGCAGGAGGACTGCTGTAGTTCATGGCCAACCTGGGTTACATAGTGAGTTCAAAGCCAGCCTGAGCTACATAATAAGACTCTGTCTCAGAAAAACAAAAAAAAAAAAAGAAAGAAAGAAAGAAAAAAAAAATTGAAAGAAAAAAGAATTTCTTATGCATATACAAGCAAATTCTAAAATATGTTACACAGCACTAATTTCAAAAGCAAATGAGAAATTACATAATATTGATCTATATAGCTATGTATATTTGGTGTTTTTTTAGATATGTACATTTTGGCAGTGCTTATACATACAGTAAAAAATTTTCTGCTTCCTAGATAGCAAAAATGGTATGTTCTCTATAGTATTAAATAATTGCCAGTATAGTATTAAATACTTGCCAGTATTAAACAATTCAGAGACACATTCAGTATGGCATTATGATTAACACTGTCTAATACTGAGAATTATTTGTTCTATGATGAATCTTTTTACAAAGCCTAATGTCCCATTCTCTTACCCAATATTTAAAAAACCATTAATATTTTTAAATCAATGCTAATCCTTTTGCCATTATCCAATATAATAGCTTTTAGAAGCATTACAGACATACTATTATGATAACTGAGGTTTTGGATTCCTTGCTTCAACACTACCCATTTCTCCAGTACCATCTTCAAAGTATAGCTACTGATTCAGAAATCAGTAAGTAGGGTTTTCATTACTATGATTCCATGAATAACAAGTGAAGTGTTTCCTATTTTCCTGTTTTGTCTTTTCTAGAGTTAATGAAAACAGCCGTGGCGGTGGACTCTTGCAAACCTAGCACTTGGGAGGCTGAGGCAGGAGGAGTAAGGCAAGTTTGAAGTCAGCAAGGGCTACATAGTGAGTTCAAGGCAGCCTGCACTGCAGAACAAGATGCTGTCTCAAAAAAAAAAAAAAAAAGAAGCCTAACATGGTGGCACACACTTGGAATCCCAGAACTTGGGAGGCTGAGGTAGGATTGATGTGTGAGTTCAAGACCAGCCTGGGGTACACAGTGAGTTCAAGGCCAGCCTGAACTGCATAGTGAAACCTTGCCTCAAGAAAACAAAAGTAAACAAATAAAAATACTGGGGCGGCTGAGACAGGAGGGTCAGTGCAAGTTTGAGATCCATCTGGGCTACAAAGTAAGCCCAAGGCCAGCCT